TTGAGAACGGGATTATTGTTGTGTCAACAAACCCCCATAGATAATAGTAATTACTGCCCTGGCTGCTGTGCCATCAGACTGAGGCAACTTCACTAGCTGACAGCTTGGTCCTAATTACCGAGAACCACCAATTACGAGCTTCATTTCATTATTTATATTCCACGGAGCGACCAAATAAAAGAGACTTCAGTTACTCCGAGTGCTCACATCTCTGGCAGCTGCAGAGGAGCGTCCAGAGACCTGCTGAATCACTCTCAATGTTTTTTTGTTTTTTTTTTTTTTTGAGGGGGGGGGGTTCCTGATGATAAGCTAGTAACCAGGCGAACAGAGAACTGATGGTGCACATATATGCAGAAGGGAACTGCAGTGACTTTGTTTTTGTCAGCCACAGGAAGTAATTTAGCTACATAGGAAGTGTGTTATCTACTCCTCCACTAGCAGTTAAAACCATTCCGCAATCTGATATGTGCAGAAATTAAATGACAAAACCGCTCCAATTTTAAAGCCATCTCCAAAAATATTGAAATATTGAAATAAACACCGGCTTCTTATCGGGTAAATGTATTCAACCACACTGATTTGCACAGATGTTCCCCATCACCCTCGACTGCCAAGCGGCGTCCAGTGATGGCTGACAGGAGGGAGGCAAGGAGAGGGCTCGGGGCGGGGGTGTGAAATTCGGCTATTCCTGCTCCAGTGATTTCTCCGGAAACTTGGCAGATCATTGTGGAGATTTGTACGTCTGTGGATTTGACATGAAACTGTTTGAGAGGCTCGTCTGGAATCCGTCTTTCAACGAGCCATTCCTTCGCCCTCCCCTTGCTGCTCATGTTATGTTCCTATAATTCCTGAAGGCCACAGTTCCCAGCCTAACAAAAGCTGCAGATGTGGCGATTATCTCAGGGGTGTTTTATGGCTCATACGATCCACTGAAAGACGACCGTTATTACTCCTGCTGATTCAAAAACAAAAAAAAACAAATAGACACGTGTGTGTGTGTGTGTGTGTGTGTGTGCAGGTGTGTGTACAAGCTGCAAAATAGGCAGAGCAGACAAAAAAGAAGAAAAAAAAGCATCTGCACAATCTATTCAGACATCTGCAATTGCACACCTTGTTGATCTCTATGATTCAGTGCAAATTCAGTGATTCACAGGATGAGCTGAAACGGAAACTCGCGCTCAGAAAGCTGTAAAGCATGCAGAGCTAACACGCTCCAAAGAGATAACCTATCGCCAAAAAAAAAATGGAAACATAATTACAAAAAAGGAACGTTCCACTGTAGAAATCCAAAGCTCTTAGCATGTAGATGACAGCTGCACGGGGCAGGCCTTGTTTGCACGGCCTGGAGAGGAGCAGTATATGTGGCCTGGAGGCCAGATCCGTTCCAACTGTGCCCTGGCACGAAAACGATCAGCCCAGTCCGACTCGACAGCTTGGATATTTGCAGGGGGGCAATGGAAAACTGGAACGTTGCAGCACCGTGTTGGAGGTGGGGGAGGTGGGCCGGCGGGCAGAGATGAGTCAGGAACAAGGTGGTTTCTATTATTTTAGGTCCGCAAGGACGTGACATTTCCAAAGTCTGATGAGCAAGACCGAACAGCGGCGGGTGAAGGAGGTGCCATTTCTGTGGGGGCCTGAGGCAGCCAAGTTTATCCACCAGCACATGTGTCTGGAGGACATATGAGCATTTTTAACCATTTCCAGAGATTTATTAGGCGTCTGTACACGCTGCAATGGCCAAAACCCGCATGGTGATGATGCATCTTTAAAGCCTGGAGTTAGTTTATGTAATTATCATTGGAGACAAAAAAATAAACAAGTCTGAGGTCGTGAAGCTCATGAGAGGAAAAACAAAACTAAGAGTAAAAGTCAAAACACAATGACAAGCAGCCTTGCTTACTTTTTTTTAGCATGACAAGTTTATTTAATCTTATCTTGTTTCCATTGTCGTCATCATCCATCATCACTTACAATAGTCAGAGTTTGGGATTTTCCTTGAAACTAAAGAAATGCAGGAGGTTTTCACAACCAATAATCATTTTAAAAAGTGATGCAAAGAGAAACCTGCTGGTTATGGGAATATTTTCAGTTTAGCCTGCTTTGACCACCGACAAGAAAATTAAAATCTTATCAATGTGGTTGATGTTACTGACTGAAGACTCAAAGCTCAGTGTTTTTGGGATCAATGACAAAGTAGAAACAAAAAAAAGTGGACAAAGAGACGCAAAGAGATGTTTAAAAGCAAACCATTCCGTAGGACATAGAGACACGGTCTGAAGTTTGTTAAGCAGATAACAGAAAAGGTGAACGGAGAACAGGAAATCTCTTCAAACTATAAACCTGTCCGTCATCCTTAGAGCCTTTAATAAGTCTCAGTGGTAAGGCAAGGCTCTACCTCTGAGGAACAGACGGAGTGTCTTTTTAGCACTATGTGCAACAACACTAACTTGAAACAGCAGTTTAAAAGGTCAAATCAAAAATCATTAATGCAGTAAATCCCTATTTTACACAGATTGGACTCTCAAACACACACTGCTCATAAAATAAATAGATTTTCTTTTCTATTACTAAAGCTACAGTGGCTAAAACGAAAGCAAAATCAGTTAAACTCAGTATCAAGCCACGTCAAAGAAACAACTAGAACCAGAAAATCGGACAACAAATTTTGATCTGTGCAGCTCAATTTGAAGCTTCACGAGACAACACGGCCCCACGAACGGCTTCGATTACCATTTGCTGTACAGAATAACTGGGAAAATTCGGGGCAATTTTTTCAATTAAAAAAAAAAAGAAATCGATCTAAAATTTACAACATTCTGTTGCACAAGAGCTACAGGCCCCACCCTGTCCCCAGGGGGTAAGAAAACAACAACATTTTTGATTTAGTGCATGCTAATTCGTTCATCCCCAACGTAGATCTTTGCTCTGGGGTAGCGCCGATGCAAAGCCTCCTGGGAAAAATGATTGACACTTCTTAATCCTCATGGATAGCAAAAAGCATGTCATTACCATGACATTTGTACCATCTTCTGGGACATGAGATGAAGAGTGTAAACAACAAAAGGGATAAACAGGGAAAACTCCATAAATAAGGAGTGCGAATGTTTAATGGGATGTATTTTTGGGTCACACGTGTAGTTTAAATATTTCACTCTGGCTGTGCTCGCTTAATAGAATAGGGATGGAGAGATGCCTGCACTCTGGCACCTGGGGTAGCCAAGATTTCAAATTATCCAACATTTTATTTATCTGTAACAACAGAGGGCTGGCTGGTGGGCACAGAGGACTGCAGGAAATGTGATGGAAAGTGGAGCACAACAGTAATGACCAAAGCAAACAGCTGATAATGAGGAAGATGCATGGAGAGGGAGGTGGGGGGGGGGGAACGGAGTCATCTGTCAAGCTAAGCACTACACAGATGAGTAAGAGGCATCCAGAGAAATCAGCAACTCCTCAAGCTTTCTGACAGCTTTGGGACTTAAACGCCACAGAAACCGTTTGTGACAAAGTGAGAAATATCAGACAAGCCTCGATATATCAGTCACAATTATGCTGCGACGTTTCTTCACCTTAATTCATCTCTTTGACTTGGATGAGCGGAGCAGCGTTTCTCCTCTTCAATTAAAACGCGTAAAGGAAAAGTTTTAACAGCGCTCTCCATAAAAACCGTTACAGCAGCAGTTAATTACTGGGGATCTTCAGCTAATGAGCATCGGAGCACACTTAATTACTCATATCCCTTCATAAACAAACAGATCTTAATAGAGCGCACGTAAAGTTTCACCAGAACGGACCGAGGTAGTACTTTGAGAACTTGCTTCAACTTGTAGGACAAGGCTTGGCTTGTAATTGGGCCATTGTTTCCTGAAACGGAGTGCTGACCGTTTATTGTCCAGCAGTGCTCCACATCCATAACACAACAAACAAAAACACCTGCTGGTATTTTGGAGGTAGCTACTGCCAGCAAATGTCCCAGGTGAGATGAGCTGCTATGTGCTGGGTAACAGAACTACTACTTCTTCTTGATGCTGTTCAGAGCTTTTAACACAGATAAACAACAGGGAGCAAAATGATGAACAAGTGAAAAGAGGAAGCTCGACTGATTACTGGGTTCCTAAGCACATTTCAGGCGACAACACTATACTTCTGTACGTTATTTTTCTGTCTGTTAAACTCATTTTTCAAAGGAAGGAAGGAAGGAAGGAAGGAAGGAAGGAAGGAATACCACCTTAGTTTGAGAACTGCATGAAAAGGGATAAAGGTAGCTAAAAACGCATTAGTTTAATAGTCACCATTTTCAAGTTATATTGATGTAGAATTATAATTTAACATCTAAAACTGGGGAGCTTTTTCCCCTGAAACTGTGGGATATAAAATAAAGTACTGAAAGTACTATTTTTTTTAATACAGTTTTCTTTCTCCGTCCTTATTCAGACCTGAAAAACCACCATTTCAAATTCAATACCTTTTCAGACAGCATAGGAACCCTGTAATTATACCACCTCCACACCATTAGCTCCACACCCTGCTGTTTACTCAAAGCAGCTTGATACACCGAGGCCTGGCCTGAAACTGATTCACCCATCAGGAGAAAAACAGGAGCTGAAATGCTTTTTTCTTTCCTTCCCCTCCCACCTTGGCTGCTGCCCAATGGGAGATCATAAAAAATTACTTGAATCCAACTGTGTTTTAGTGAGGACAAAGGGTGTGAGAGCGGAGTGTGAGCCAGAGAAAGTGAGGAGACGCAGGGACCGAGTCTACAGAGTCTAGCAGCAAAATTACGGCTTAAGAAAGAGTATACAAATTGTGACAAGTTTTTGTTAAAAAAAAAAAAAAAAAAGAAAGAAAAGTGTGACGGGCAGAGCTGGTGATCCAGAAAACAGCCAGACCCCGATGAATTTTTCTTTGCTCAGAAAAAAAAAAAGTAAAAGAACATCACAAAGTGGTGCAAGTAAATGAGAGGATAAGTGAAAATAAAACGACCTTGGGTTGTTACTCACTAGAGAGAGGCCGACAGGGGTGCTGGGTGCGTCTTGGCTGCTGGAGTGGAACAGAGTAGGGTGCAGCGGCGGCTGCACAGTGTGCGCTCGCTGGACACTTCAATCACAGGTAGCCGCAGCCCCGGGCGAACTTGGCCAATTAGCCACACACTGCCGCTGACCCCCGGCTTCATTAAGGGCTCGGGCTCTGGAGGGGGAAGAAAAAGGGGAGGATTAGAAGGTGAGAGGGGAGACTGTCGTTACTGGCGACGGTTTGAGAAGACGCGTCTACACCTTATGCTTAAAGCTGTGACTGAAGGTTACAGATGAACACAATCAAGTGTGGGAAACGACTCAACTCCGCATGTATCCACCCACCCCAGAAGTCACACTCCCCACATCCCTGAGGGTTTATACCTGCAGCAAAGGTGGTGGAGGTGAGAGTTGGAGCTACAGAGGCCAGAGGGCAACGCTACACCCCCACCCTAAAACACAGCTGCAGTGACAGCAACAGGTGTGGTGGCCGGCAGACATGCAATTATTAGGCTGAGATTGTGCTCTTTGTGACAGAGACAACAGCGGATCAGAGGGAAGATTAGAGCTACAGGGGGAGAGGAGAGGAGCGGGACGGGAGGAGACCGAGATGAGAGGGAAGAGGGGAGGATGCACTACTACGAGTCCCTAGAGGATGGAAAGAAAAAGACTTTCTGTTCTGCTCTTTTGATCGGCAATTCCTCAGAAACCGAAGAAAATGCAGATCAAAAGCCAGCCCCGTGCTGTCAATCACAAGTTTTCTTTCACACATCAGCATGAAGGTGATTAGTTTTGACCTTCAGAGGATTTTCAATGATTTTTTTTTTCCTCAATTATGAAAAAAATAAAATAAACCTCACTGATATTTAGTTGGGTTCTGGCTAAATTCTGGTTGCATATGTGAATATAGTTTTTTTTCGAAATATTAGAGCTCAATCAAACCTGTTGGGTTCGTGCCAGAGATTTAGCTTTTAAGCAAAGGTCGTGCATTTTCAGCACAGTTCCAGTTGAGGCCAACATGGAGCAGGCCTCAGGATCATCGTCTTGTACAAACGCCAACTTGGATCAACCATCTGTTTGTTGATTTTAGGTGCCTACAACTCATCCACTTCACTACTGCAATTCACTACTACCCCTGGAAGTAAACAGCGACACAGTATGATGCCACCACCAGCATGTTTGAGAGTTGCTGCAACGAGTTCATGTTTTACAGCTTCACTTTGATCTTCAAAGACTCATATTATGGCCAAATTGGTCACCATTTTCTCTCGTCTGGCCTTTTACAGTAACTTTTAGAGTACTGGTCAGCAACCTCTCAAGTCTATGATGATGTAGGCGTCACTTTCCTGTGGATCGACCAGACAGAAGCATCCTCCAGATTATTATAGAGCTCAGATACGTACCATCAGGACCAATTTATATCAGTAGCTTGCTTATGGATATAGATAGCCAGAAGCAGCTCTGATGTTTACTATGGAATACTTATCAGAAATGTAATCTGTGTGACTATATTTATTAAAGGGCAGTATTATGTATTTTCCAGGCACATAGTGCCATTTTAGTTATTAAGACACTCCGTTTTCAGTAAGTCATCACAACATGGCTCCTTTATTAACCCTTTAACAACGTTTTTACAAGCGTTACACCGAGATGTAGCTCGTATATTGATCTCTGCTGATGCACAGTTCCACCAGCTGTTTGCTAATTGCTCCTGGCTAGTCTGAAGGAGCTGAGTGAGGGAGCAGTGGGGGGAATGCTGCTCTGTCAGGTGGAAACTCGGAAGCTGCAGCAGCAAGAAGAAGCTTTGTCCTCGAAGGCAGCGCTCTGTTCCACCAAGCGTTTTGAACATCTGAATGGTTTTCTCAAACATGGATTAAAAAAATCAAGGCAACACTCCAGCTATGTTTTTAAGGAAGTAATAACATGACACAATTTAAAGCTCAAAAAAGTTGATTTCGCATACTATTGCCCCTTTTTGTGGGATTTCAGACCTGGGTTGGAATAGGAAACACACATTATATGGCTCAAGTCATATAATTTCTCCATCACCAAAACAGGTAAAATGCATCATTAAAAGCACATTAATATCCCATTTAAATCAATAATAATAATAATAAGTGCACTCATTTACCAGCATTGTATACTTTAGGTTTCTGCAGCAGGAATGAATTTACTCAGGGTAGTGGTTTGAGGAGACCTCATACACATGTTTGCGCGACACTTATTAAAAGCCAAAGCATCTCATGTCATTTCAGAGTAGGTGGAGTAGTTTGTGGCTATATGGGACACGCAAGGCACGGCAACAGTTAGTCATATACGAATGTTTTTCTCCCTTACGAAAGCAGAAATCCACATGGGACTTGTGCCTGCGTCACATTTACTGTGGAAACCTCAGAGGTGCCGTAGAGGAGTGGGGTGCTTCATACCAGCGTTCCTTCTGATTACAGGGCTTTGACCTAGCTAAAAAAAAAATGTTTATAAGGTGGGCTACCAGAATTGTAATAACTACTGTCAGAATGTTTTTATGCTCGGGTGGAGGAGATACCAGACCTTTATTTAAAACAAGCCCAGGATAAAAGATCAATGGCCCAAGTCGGAGCAAGAATTGGAGGGAAAAGTTCGCAAACATGGTGGGAGATTATGAGGGGGGGGGGGGGGGGGTGTTTGTGGTGATGTGGAGGGGGGGGGGTGGAGGAATGGCCAAACAGGACGGGGCCGCTTC